CAGTATGCAGCAGGCTATCAATGCTTTCTGGACCTGAGGGCACCGGGAGGGATCCTCCATATCACTGATGTCATCAGATAAAGAGGTGGGACGGAGGGTCTGGTCCTGGTCAAGGGGAGGGATCTCAAGTTGAGGTATTTTGATTCTATCAGCGGAGTTTTGAGATTTGGATACTTGAGCAGAAAGTTCAAACTCAGAGGTTATATAACAATAATCTGTGAAGTTGCAAACAACTAAGTGGTGCTGCAACATCTAGAAGTGCATATGTTCAAGGAATAGTTCAACATTTTGGGAAAAAACTTACTGGCTTTCTTGCTGAGAGTTAGACAAGAAGATACCGATACGACACCCGTTTACCAGATACCACTTCATTTATGTATGTGAGTAAAAATAGAAGTTAGTTGATCAGCTTGGCTTAGGAATAAAGACTGGAAGAAAGGGTAAACAACTAGTCTGGTTTTTCCTGAAAAAACAAACAGATGTAACTTATTTTTGCCCTGCAGCACTGTTAAACACTTCCCTTAAAAATTTAAAATCTGTTTTACTACATCAAGAAAAATATTACATTGTGAGCCCAAACTGGCTCTTTACTTACAGAGGAATCTTTGTGTGTCGTCTTCCTACCAAACAGTGCATAAAACAGACAACTTCAGTGTGGTTTTATTCTGTTATAAAACAACTTTCACATAACACACTTTTCTGCGTATTCACCGAAAAAAAAACCCAGACAAAAGCACGAAGACATGCAGAAAGACAAAAAACAAGTAAAAACAGCATATAAAGCAATAAAAGCCTTCTGTGTAAGACTGAGGCATGACATTGGATAAAAACACTCAAAACTAGAGGGGCACTCGGAGAGTGCAGACCAAGGCCAATGTCAAACAACATACACTGGACTGTCCATGTGTCAGAAACATTTTCATCTTGCAACGTAAGGCGGAATCGAAGCCTTACAGGTTGATAAAAGTTTGGATTATAAGAAGCTGCAGGATTGTTTGGTTCTCGGAGTAGAAAAGACTCAGCAGGTGAAACAGAATCACGTACTCAAAGGCCTCACGCAAGTCGCATCCCTGATCACTGACCTGTTTTCAGAAGTTGGTGTAAATTTTGATTTGATGCGACTGGAGGCCTGCGCACACTTTTGCAATCATTGTGTCCAGCTGGTGTCTCTTATTTTATCTTAAACCACCTGTAAGGAACATTTTTAAGTTTGACTGTAGTGAACTGTCAACATCAAGGCAACATCAGCTCTGAAAACCAGTCTGGTTATAAGCCTCTGCGTCAGCTAACAGTCCCTCTTTCTTGTAGTTTACGATCGCACCTTTGACTGAAAATACAGTACATGTCAGGTGGCTGCAATGCATTCTGATATAGGAACTGTTAGCAGTCTTCCTTATACTGTAGGCCTGCATGATTTGACATCAAAAATACAGTTTGGCTTTAGAGCAGTCACACATTCAAATTCTCTGTGAGACAGTGCTCTGTGTGTGTGTGTGTGTGTGTGTGTGTGTGTGTGTGTGTGTGTGTGTGTGTGTGTGTGTGTGTATGTGTGTGTGTGTGTGTGTGTGTGTAGACGGATACATTATAAGATACCTGTGTTTTGGGAGGGGGACAGTGGTGGTAATGTTATTGTAATGTGTTGTTGTGCTAATTAGTTGGGATTGCAGTTGCCTCAATTGCCACACACACACACACACACACACACACACACACACACACACACACACATACACACACACCTGATTATATTCTGACCCAATTCAGGGCAAACTTGGAGGGTAACCAAATTAATCATTTGTGGAATCTGTGCTTGTCAAGTCCTGCTGTATTGAACCAGCAGTCAGACACACATATAAACATGATGCTCGCCCACACACAACACACACACACACGCGCGCACAGGTATGACACAAACATACTGAGGCTGGCCCAGCAGTCGACCACATATCGCTGGCTGGCATTAGTACAGCTCTTATCTACTTTATGACTTCCACTCTGCCTGGTTTATTTGTGTACTTTGACTTTCTCTGTAAAGCTCCGTCTGACCCGAGGTAGCACTGTGCCGTGTCAAAGGTCAAATCTGGCATTTATTTCAACACATAAATTTCAACTAAAACCACTCATACTGCGGCCACATGAGGAGTTTGACCCACAGATAAAAGTAAACGGACTGTGTGACGTCTTTTCTTTACCTCTTTTGTGATTTATTTGGAACTTTTATTTTGAAGTCGGCAGAGCTTTCTAGCAGGCCCGAGCTTTGGTCAAACATTTCTTAGAGCATCTTGGAGGCTCACTTGACTGAAGCAGGTATCATGTAACCATGTTTGAGTCTTGGCTAGGACCTTTGTAGCTTGTGGTTGCCCTCTTTCTCCCCAACACTTCCTGTCTCTCTTCACAATAAAAACTATCCAGCAGAGGCAAAACAAAACATTTCTCAGAGGCTGAAATGAATTTACTTGGATGGCACAAAACCAATTCAATATATATCATAATATCTATATTTCACTTTTATTTTATATTTACTCTGACTAGAAATCATATTTAATATTTGTTGTTATGTCATTTGTCGTTCTGGGATTTGCTTCTATTCAGCGACAAGAGCATTAGTGAGGTCAGGGACTGTTGTTGGGTGGTGTTGATGATGTTGTGGCTCACAGTCGATGTGACAGTTCAGCATGAAGGTGTTGAATGAGGCTGGAGTCAGGGGCTTTGTGTCAGACCTGTTCTTCCACACCAAAACATTTCTTGATCTCAACTTTGTGCACGAGGGCATCGTCATCCTGAAACAGAACACCGTTGTCTAAAATATCATTGTAAGCTGGAGCATTAAGACTTTCCATCACTTGAACTGATGATTTACTGTATACAGAAATGTCTTGGCAGCACAGACACAAATTATCCCCCTGAATGCGCTGAAATAAGACGCCTTTGGCTAAGATGTCCAATAAGTGATAAACATTTGAATTGACCCCGGGGGGCATTTAAATTCTCCAGAAGCCACTATGAGAGTACAGGGAGGGTTTCAGCAACACGAACATGAAAACACTAAAGAAGAGGATTCCAAACCTCATCGTGACTTTTCTCCACACCTGGACCTTTAAATCTCTTTTGATCTCGTGTCTTTTACACCTACAGCCTCCTAACAGAAAACCCCATGGCCTGGACCTGTGAGGGACGTTACCTGTAATGTTGCCGGTTTAGAAACTCTTTACTGCTCTTTCACCCAAAATCACGGAGTTAAAGCCAAAAGTTCTGTCTCTGGAAAATAGAAGAAGAAGAATTTATTTTGGCCTCTGGGTTACATTAAATCCATGTAGGTGGAGGTATTCAGCCTTTATAGGCAGAGATGTGTTGTCTATTGTGTCAAGCTTCTTTTTCGATAAAATCCGGGGAGAGTCAGGAGTGACAGTGATGTGTATATAAGCACAAACAAACTGAACTGAGAGGAAAGTTAATGAGTTAGTGAGTGTATTCATGTGATCTTAAGTTCACATGTTTATGACTTTATTGTCATCATCAGGTGTTTCCCCTATATGCTGAGCTCATGCCTGTGCAGCTTTGCTTTGTTACACAATTAAAACTTCTCTCTCTCTCTCTCTCTCTCTCTCTCTCTCTCTCTCTGCCTGATAAAAATAAATCCACGGCTCTTATTTCATTAAGCTACTAAGCTTTCATCTGAGGGGCGACATTAAGGCTCGGAGTGTTAAGCTGATAAAAAAAACGGATCTGATCTTGATTCTCTGCTGCAGCTAATGAGATTACTCGCTCCTGTTCTTTTACTGATGCAATTAAAACATGGAGGCAATTGACGCGCATTCACTCATTAAAGCAACTTAATTGAATGTGTCTTCTAAAGAGGCCTTAATGCTCTGTTTGCAGAAAGGACAATTAACCCGCAATAAATTATGAGTCGTCATAAAAAAATAAAAATAAATAAGTTGTAATAACGTGATTTACTGCGGCTAATTTGCGGTTTTCTACGGGGGGGGGCAAAAGATCAACAAAAACAATTATTAAAGAAGGTGAAGTTTGCTTAGAGGGAAAATAATGAAGTAGTGATTTCAGGAACAACTTCAGCGAGCTGTGCTGCTGTGGAGAGGAGGGAGAGGCGGGGGGTCTTGTGTTTTATTTGCCAGCTCTTTGGAGGGATGGGGGCTGTTTTGGGTGGGGGTAGAGGGGGCAACAGAAGCAGCGTACCCCTCCCCTCTCTCTCTCTCTCTCTCTCTCTCTTTCGCCCCCCCCTCCTGCTCCCCTGGCCGCTCTCAGACCATTGTTGTTGTGACTGCCGTCCGGAGAGCAGCAGAGTGCTGTAGGAGGGCTGGTGTGTGTAGGACGCAGTCACTCGCTCCACTCTCTCTCTCTCTCTCTCTCTCTCTCTCTACTGTAGAAAGAAAACGGACCGAGGAGGCTGAGCTGCACATTTGAGCAGCGGAGCTCAGATCTTACCGGAATAAACACACCGAGGAGAGGAGAACTTGCAGACGCGCTGCGTAAAGGCGCACGTAAAGAGTTTTATCCAAGACGGTGCTACAGTTTAACCAAGAAGGGACTCTGAGCTTGGGGGTGGGGGGGGGACGTTTTATCACCCGTCTCTATCAAGCTCTCTCTCTCATTGTCTCGCCACCCCGGATTTTCTTTTCTTTTTCTTTTTTGAACATCATCAGAGCGAGAAAGGACAGGTTTTGACACGCGCAAGTCCACTCTCTCGCTCCCCTGCGTGGTTTTTCTTTCTCTCCATGGATTTAGCGCTCTGAGCGAGCGGCTGCAGTGGACTTTGCCCCCGGGGATCACAGCTCCTTCCTCCGGTCACCAGGAGAACCCGGCAGCTGTCGTTCATGTTCCAGGGGGCTGTTTTTGATGGATTTATAAGCTCAACTCCGCGTTCAGCCGGATACAAAACAGCCCAGAACCCGCACACAGACTGTCTTTTGGGAAAAGGATACAGCGGGAATACTAGAGCTCCAAATGAGGATTTCAATATTCACTCGTGTCGACCGGGACGAGGAGTGATTTCCCCTCGGTGCCAGTCATCACGGCGAAGACAGATCGGGAGGAAAGGTGGGTGAAAACAGACTGAGACAGCTGGAGACTCTTGGAGAGTTGTTTCATTCATTTTCAGAGGGCATGGCGTAAGCTGGGTTAGATTACAACAAAAAAGCAATTTAAGGAAGCCTTACCTAAATATTGATTTATTTTAAAAAACACAAATGCTGCTTTTAGGAAGACTTTATTCTACTTTTTTATTCGTTTTCAGGGATTTGCTTGTAAACAGAATACTTCCTTGAGACCAGGCAGGAGAGGATCTATCGCTCCGCTTCTCGGATCACTCATTTGCATTGTAAACTAGTGAATTAATCCACGTGTTGTACATTTTAAACGGGGATTTCAGGAAAGAAGCTGCAGGTTTTGATACAAGGCGAAGCTTAACTTGTTGTGCTTTGCAATGCGCCGAGCCAAACAAGTCACTTATTAGACATTGAACCTTCCACATGGACTATTTGTCAGGAGAGAAGAGCGGAGTCTGAACTCTTGTCAGGCAGTGTTTAACAACATAAAAAGTGATAGATTTCATTTGTGTTTCACTCACATGAAGGTGATTAAAACGACAACGTGTGTGATGACAGTCCTGATCGGAGACTAATGCTAGAAGATCCTCTCTGATTGTTGTGGTTTCACGTGGGAGCACTTAAAGTAAAAAAAAAAAAAAAAATCTTTGAAACGTCAGGAAGTGGATTGATTGAATTGATTGACAGGCGGCGGGACACACACACACACACGTGTGGACACTGTAACCATGCGAGTCACTGTAACTGTACAACATAAATAGTGACAGGTCTGACTTGTTTTTGGCAGCTCGCAGGTTCATTATTACCTACAAGGGCTGTTTGAGACTAATAGTGTATATAGGCTGGATTTATTGAGTGTGATTTATGTGACAGAAAATGCAGTAGCCTACATTAGAAATATATACATATATATATATTCAAAAACCTGAACAGTGACGCCGTTCTCTCCGTGTTTTAGGGCTGAAAAGCAGAATACAGTAGAAGTGTTTTGGCTCCGGCTGAACACAGCAGAGTGCAGCAGCCAGGCAGCGTGCCAGCGGAATTAGCAGCAGCAGGAGAAAAAAAGTTTTCCAGTCCTTAATTGAGAAAGAATACGTTTCATTCAGCAAGCTGGTTCTTTAAACGGTGTGTGTGTGTGTGTGTTAGAGAGAGAGAGAGTGTGTGTGTGTGTGTGGGCGCTGCCTGCATGCATGGAGCGCACGCACCAGGGTCTGGCGCCTGTGCGCAGTTGGCCCGACTCGCAGCAGAAAAATCACTGTATTATTCCTTTAGTGTTCTTCAAGGCTGTCAAACTTTATAGTTTGTCTGCAGAATGAGCTCATGGAGACAGTGTTGTACGTAAATTTTAAAATACCCTCATAATAATAGCTACTAAAGTAAAAAAATTATCTCATTGGATTTAAGTGATATGGGGGTGTTTGTCTGCAGACATCATTTACAATGACAACAGAATCAAAAAATTTAGATGCACATCTGTGGACACTGGAAGTTGTTTATTAACTCATTATTATTAGGAAACTTTATTGCATAGGTAAGTTAAGCATACTTTTGTTAAGTTAGAAAAGATGAAAACAGGCTTGTTAACATCATTCAATTAGTCGTTTAGTCATCCAACAGAGACTGAATCAGCAGGTATCCAGAGTAATCATTGAAGTCTTTTTTTTTTCAAGCATTGATGCTAAAAAAAAAAAAAATCCTGAATCCAAGCTCAAAATTAATAACAGAGACTTTGCTTCTTTTCTTTGTCTTTTTTGATGTTAAACTGAATATCTTCTGGTTTTGGACTGTTGGTCAGAGAACACAAGACATTTGTAGACACAGCACCTTGGGCTGTAGCAAACTGTGATGGGCATTTTTCCCCTTTTTTTCTGACGTTTTATTGACCAAATAGAAGAAAAAAAAACTGGCAGCCTAACCAGTAATGGAAATAGCCCTAACTGATATTCTCCAGACTGAGGTGCTGAACAAAGTAAGGTGTCATACCCAGGACAATTACCAAATCTTTAGGTGAACTCTAGAGTTATAATCTGATATTAACCCCTCTGATTAAAGTTTTCACCTTCTGAAACCAAATTTGTATCACAGTCTGAAGAAGGTGCTCTGATTTTTTGCAGTCACCTATTTCATTATGTTGCTGCCCGTTGTGTGTTTCCACCTCCTGCCCTGAACCTGAGGTCTCATCAGCTGCCCGTCGAATCTCTGCCGCTCCTTCAGATTCAGTGGCTTCCTGGCAAGTTTCAAGTGTTTTTTTCCTAGTAAGGGCCCATTATCCTGGGGCAGACTGAGTGCCATCCATTGACAAACAACAGGCGGTTAACAGCCCTGCTCCTTATTCATGACGCAGGAGAGCCTGGACAATGTAAAGGCCGACGGGACAGTTAGCAGGACATCTGGTTAAGAATACAGCTGCTCACAGTCAAAACAGACTCTGTCTTTAACTATTTGCCTCAACAATTGTTTGTTTTTTTGCCACCTGGCTGAAAAGTGAACAGAAAAGTTTGTGTCTTTTAGCTGCTCTCTGGCCAGATCCCCTCAAAGAATCGAGTTTCTGATCAACAGATAACCGACCGTCTGCCATGTGTTTGTTTGCCCCCCCCCCCCCCCACAGGATCCAGATTTAGAGACTTTGTGGTGTTTCTGAGATCGCCAATGCCAGGAATCGGAGTGTGAGGCCCACTCAAGGCTTCCAACATATATTTCTACCGTTTAACCACAAAGACACAAGCGTCACATCCAGAAGATGGCGAGGGTCTGCACATTCTGCTTTCTGCTGCTCTGTGTGATGGAAAGATTGTCAGCCAGGCCCGCTGACGAGAGAAGAACTAAAGGTAAGACCTGAATAACGAGGACCATGTCATTACACCTCATCTTTGGGGATTTGTGGAAATCTGATTGTATCACTTCAACATTTTTTCTGGAGAAACACAGAAAAAAAAGTGTGATTTGTTTGAAAAAAACACGACTTTTAACTGTGCGAATGTGTCTGTAAAGGCTTCCATCAATCCGTTGTCACTTTTTTTTTTTTTGTGTAAGAAGGTTTTAGTTTGGCGGAGGAGGAAGTCCAGGTGACAGGGAAAATGACAGAGAGGCTGTAGCCACGTCTTGGAAGGAGTGAAGAAGGGGGAGGAAAAAAAAAAAAAAAAACTGTTTTTGCTGTCGTAAACTGTGCTACCTGATCCATCCGAGGCCCTGGGGCTCGGAAGTGTAAATCTGCCTGGCTTGTGTGCCAGCTGTAAAGGATGAAGCGCGGGGGGTGGGGGGTGGGTGGGGGGTTGCACAGGATTTTTCATTGCATGCTTTACAAAGAGAAGCCAATGCAACAAATCAGCCGTTGTCAGTTTGGAGTTCCATCAAAGATGTTTCTGTCGAGTACAGGTGGAATCAGAATCAGCATTTTTCAGAAATATAACATATAATTTGAATGTCTTATTTCTCCGCTGCAATAAGGCAAATCAGCTTTTTCAGTCAGATTAATGGGAAGACTCTTTTTTTTTTCATGTCAGGATGTGTGTCGATTGATGAAAGACAAAGTGGATTGTTGCCCCGGAGGCGTCGAGCACAGAAGTTGCCTTGTTTCCTCCTCGGTGGCCCCACTTTGTAGCGCAGGGACAAGCAAAGGCCAGCTGGGGCTTTTGCTGTTCAGACGACAACGTGCAGGAAAGACCTCTTAGGTTCAGTTGCAAGACACATGAGTGAAGAGTCAAACCAGGGTTGATAACAGTTGAGGAATTTATGATTTTTTTTTTAATGTGTTTATTTTTTTCCCAAATCCCTCGTAAAACTGGAGGAACGATTCTCACTTTTTACAGCTTCTGTATAAAAACAATCAAATTGAGAAACACTTTTATGAGCCAAAGTCAAATAAGTGAAAAAGTCAGAATTCAAGATGAGATTCAGTTCTGCCATAAATTAAAGTTTCAGTGAATTAATGTAATTGTTGATGCAAATAGTTTGATTCAAAGGAGATGATCATAACTAAGAGAAGACAGAGACATCAGAAAGAAAAAGCCAGCTCCCCCTTGGTGTCAGTTGAAAGAGTTAAAATGAGACTCTACCACCTCCTTCAAGATGACTCCGGCTCAACAGAGGTCACAAGGGTCAGAGGGGCCCACAATACACTGACCGGGTCGATTTCATCCAGTGTTCACTCTGAAGGAAGATGATGCAGAAAATGAATAGTTTGAAATTTAATACTGAAAGAGACATGTCCTTTCTTTTTTTCTTTTTCTTTTTCTTTTTTTTTTTTACATCTGACATTTTATCTAAGAAAGATTTTATTAATCCCCGTGTGTTTTCTGTCATGTTGCTAATCTGATAATCACTATGAGTGAAAATAAATCACACTGCCTTCCAAATATAATTATACATCTAATGTTTCAAACCGCTTGCTGCTGCTGCTAAATGCAGGGATCTGACTTGTCCAATGTCACCCCACCCCCCAGAGAAACTTATTCTGAGCCCTGTTTTCTCCCACATCATTACAGATTATATGAAAGTCTGAGTGTAGCTCTTGTCCGCACATTGCTGCTGTGTTTTCAGCTGCTCTTCATCCCCACAAAGCTGAATGTAAGAAAGGACATTTACACAAGTGTAAAGGACACTTGGCAACTTAAAACTTGGCTGGCTGAATCTGAGATGGATTTGTATTGAAATCGCAAATGGCTCCCCGTCATTTATCATTGACAGGGAGCCATTTGCAACAGTAAGGAGATCAGAGCGTGCCAGAGAATGCCATCTTTTGCTTTGGTCTCTGCACAGATTAACTGGGTTGGCATTTTTTTTTTTTTTTTAGGGAGTGCATCTGCTGGTCAGGCAGGGTGTCTGGGCCAGAGCTGCCTGTGGATGGAGTTGGACCAGTTAGCAGCTTGTGATTCTCAAAGCTGTTTTATGAACTTTGTCGAGTAACGACGTAAAATAAACTCCCAGCATCCCTTTAATGAGTAAATTAATCAATAGTTTAACAACTGTGTTATATTATATGATCAACCGTACATTACCTGTTTATAAACCAGCATCAGTGTTTCACAGGTGGAGTTATAAACCATGTGTTAAAGCAAACTGACCTGATTGGATACATTACAGTAATTTAAATAAGGGCAAGCCAATCAGGAACAAGATTTTCTGGTAATAGAACTGGTATGAAGCAGGCTACATATTACTGGGCTCTGCTGCTGTGAGTTCCTGGACCGGGGGGCATGAAGGCCTCTTCATTGTCCCAACTGGTTTCCACAGAGGGCTCCGCTGTCAGCCCGGCCGGCTGGCTGACTGGCTGGCTCGCACCAGCTGAGCGGTTTGTTTGTGTTGTGTTGTGTTTTGTTTGCCCCCTCGCCTCTGGGTGACAATTCACACTCCGCCGCAAGTTCAACTCCAGGGCACCGTCTCTGTCTCTGCAAGTTCATTAGCATGGCTGCAAGTGTGTGTGTGTGTGTGTGTGTGTGGGGGGGGGGGGTTCATCTCTGTGATTTACTGCTGACTGCTAGTTTTACTGTCTTCAATTTTGCCCCATTAAAGGAAAATGTGCGGCATCTTGGGATAATATTCATATTCTTAATATTTTGAAGTCAGAGGTCACAGGACACTAAACAGATTGATGGCGAGTGGCCGTCAAGACCTTTGTTTTAACGTGTTTTCCTTTTGGCTGCTTCGACCAATCGCCATTCCTGATTTACCACTAACGAGGTTGCAACCGTGTATTTGATTCCTGAAAGCACTGCTTCTACGTGTACTCTGGCCGATTGGGAAAGAAGGCAGCACTTCACTCCGACAAGGGAACAGATTGCCTTTTCACTAAGCGCTCGCAGGAAGCAATCAGACAGAAAATTGCCCTGGAAAATTGCTCGTTCTGAGTGACTGAGCAGTGAGCGAGGTCCCTGGCCAGGGCGCACATATGCTCCAACAAGCGAGTGGGCGAGCACATAAATGGGCGAGTGACCCACTGAATAGATGGCACTGTGGCTGATGGTGACACGATAGTAGCCGGGTTATCAGGGCACTCTATCACCAGTTCCTGGTTGCATTAAATGACGGTGGTTGTTCAGGAACACGGTGTTCTGTTACCTGACCTTTCAGAGGTAAACTGAAACCGCCAGTGTGTGTTTTAACAATTTTTATCTTGTTCACTCGGGGCGTATTCAGACCAAGCAGGTTTGAAACAGTTTATTAAATAGACTCCTCCTTTATTCTGTGAATAAATTTGGCTCTTTTAAACAAAGTGTTGGAGCTTTTGAGAAGTAAATAAGCATCATTCACGGGAAACACAACAAACTACATTCATGGACTTACAGGCAATTTTCGAGTCGACCATGGAAATTAATAAAATTCACAGGAAGGTGGAGAACTAAGACAGATTTTCTATCCTCACCTCTCCAGATCTACGGGTCTCCAGGCCTCTGATTGTGCCAGGTTACCCAGAAAACACCACAGCGGTGGTGGGCGGTCAGGTGAAGCTGGTGTGTAAAGTCCACAGGCCGGCATCCACCAAGGTGCAGTGGCTGAAGACGGAGGTCGGCACTCCAGGACGCAGCCAGGGAGGACCGCCTCGCCTCAGGGCTCTGACGGTGAGAAGCTGACATATCCTCAACCCCCCCCCCCCCCCCAAAAAAAAAAAAACAAATTTTTTTTTTTTTTTTTTTTTTATTTTTTAACCAGGGCTATATACTTTTCATATAAAGTGTTAAATGCAATCTTTGAAGATGATGT